TTAAAAAATAAATAAATAAAAAATAAACTATCAACATTTCCTTCTAATAAATATACACAACTTTTACTGTATGACATAAATACTCTAAAATGTACATGCTTGGGTTGATACCATTATTTTATAATACATGTAGGAGAAACATACAGTATTTTTATTGTTTTGGGGGGTCATATGCTATCCTCTTACTTCAGAGCTAGAGAATACATTACAGCATATTACTGTGTTGAAAATGATCTTATTGGATAAAGTAGGGAAAACACCTAAGCCAGAAACAGTTCTCCTAACTTCATCTTCAGTAAATTTGAATCCTACCCATCACCACTTGGTCAATGTGTTACTTATTTCTGGGGCTGCTGACCTATAGGGATGTGATGTTAGTGACCTACGGACACCTACTCTTCGTGGGTGAGGATATCTTCCTTCCAGATTTCCCAAACCACACTCAGAGTTTTGTTCCTTCCTTTAAAGAGTATGTCTTCAAAGATTCTTCTTTGCATGACTGGAATTCAGATCCCTGCAGTAAGGGAAATAAGTAAGGGTTTATAGGTGCAGAGAAAAAAATCTTCACGGTGTTTCATCTTTAGCTTCCCCTTCCTTCCTTAAGGTAACATCATCATTTACCGTAGATTAGTGGTAATTCTAAAAATGCAGTTGTATAGGGATCCCTGGGTGGCTCAGTCAGTTAGACGTCTGCCTCTGGCTCAGGTCATGATCCCAGGGTTCCGGGATTGAGTCCTGCATGGGACTCCCTGCTCAGCGAGGAGCCTGCTTCTTCTTCTCCCTCTGCTGCCCCCTACTTGTTCTCTCTCTCTCTCTCTCTCTGTAAGATAAAAAAATAAAATCTTTTTTAAAAATGCAGTTGTATAAAATGATACTGCTCCCAACTTAAACTCCATTTCCCGCCCTTTGTTTTTGTTTCTATTATACTCGGAAGTGGAGCTCAAGATCTGAACTTTGGAAATCCCTCCTGTGTGTTCTAAAAGGGGCTGTCAGAAAACAGTATTTTGGGAAATAATTTTCTAGAATTCTACAATGTCTTCTCTACTGAGGAGAATACTGGATTGAAAATTAGAGACTCTCCAGCAAAATTCATATTCTTTTTTTTTTTTAATAAGTGGGTCTTGGGGCACCTGGGTGGCTCAGTCCGTGATGCATCTGCATTTGGCTTGGGTCATGATCTTGGGGTCCGGGGATCAAGCCCCACATGGGGCTCCCTGCTCAGTGGAGAGCCTGCTTATCCCTTTCCCCCCTGCTCGCACTCTCTCTCATTATCTCTCTCAAATGAATAAATAAAATCTTTATAAATAAGTAAGTAAGTAAGTCTTGCTATACCTAAGCCAGACCTGGTTGCCTTTTTGGAGTCGAAGAAGGAGGGTGGGATATTAAGAGAAAGGAGAGAGTAGCCTTACATCCAGGTCGGTGGGAATGAATGAAGCAGATGACAGAGGTGAGGTCCAGAAGTCAAGGAGGAAGCCAGACCTTAAAACGTGGTTTGGGAAACTTTGTTGAATGAAAATAATTTTCTGTAAGATTAAGCTCATTTCCCTTGCTATCACATGGCGACAATCCCATCTAACACTCCCCATTCTCCTACATCCTCTAAGGATTCTCTTCCTGCTCCCCTGGTCTTCCATCATATTCACAGTAAGGGCCAAAGAACTTTCCATTGCCTGTGAGGGCCTGCATGATATATCTGTGTTTCCATTGCTTTTGGGGACCTGGAGAAATCTGTGCATATTTCTGAGGAATTTGTGTGAAGTCATTTTTAAAACTTCATTTTGCCTCATGACAGAAATATGTAAGGGGAGTGGTCAGAACATTATGTTCAGAAAAGTTGTAAACACTGGAGACAGATATCACATATCTTCTACTTTATGATTTCCAATCTTATGGAGGCCTCAAACATCATCTTACAAAATCCCAGTCAGTAATTTCATCCGAGTACAAGGCACCTCCCTAAAATGAGAACATCTAATCCTGTATTTCACTTCAAAATTTCCTTTTTCTTGGGGGCCTGGGTAGCTCATTTGGTTAAGCAGCTACCTTCTGCTCAGGTCATGATTCCAGGGTGCTGGGATCAAGTCCCAGGGAGCCTGCTTCTCCCTCTGCTTGCTGCTCCCTGTTTGTGCTCTCTCTCACAAATAAATAAATAAAATCTTAAAAAAATAATAATAGGGCACCTGGGTGGCTCAGTCGTTAAGCGTCTGCCTTCGGCTCAGGTCACGATCCCAGAGTCCCGGGATCGAGTCCCACATCGGGCTCCCTGCT